AGTTACAGGAAAAACTGACCTAACTCTTTGTTTGGAAAGTGGGGGAAGCCAAGGATGGTTTTCCTTAGGATATGGCTTGTGAGCTAAGCTCTGAAAGATGGAGATGCAGAAAATAAACAAAAAGTAAAATTTAAATGGAGGGGAAGAGAATTCTACAGAAGGGAAAGCATTATTATTGATAATAACAAAAACTAGTCTTTTAACCTCTATTTTGCTTTAACTGTTTTATTGTTTCTACTTCATAGAAACTACAGATTTTTTATTTTCAGGATAATTCAGCAGATAAATCTTGAAACCAAGATCAGCTTTCCTGCAGATTGCTCAAGGTTTTGCATATGAGAATCAAGCTGGCTTTCAGAACTCTGAAACCAACGACCTGTCACTGTATATAGTTAATGCCTAAAACCCCACAGCATCTTTTTGTCATTAGAGAGACAGTCATAATCAGTTAGTGTTTACTGAGCAGTTACCGTACACCAGTGGGCCAAGTGCTCTTGTTATCACCAGTAGTTAGCTAATTATTAATAAAGAAAAGGGGAGCAAAGGGAATTAGACACTGAGCTTAATAAATTGGGGAGCATGAGCCTGTCTGCTTCACCAGGAAGCTACAACTTCACACCCCAGGGGATCATAGCATTGCTCCACCAAGGGGATTAACACTCTTCCCTTACTTACTCTAATACTGGAATGTTGGGGGAGTCCACAGGGGAAGGTGCTTGACCATGGAGGCCTGTCAGTCTGACTAGGGGATGAACCCATCAAAAAGCCCCCAAAAGCTTGAAAATTTGATTGGTTCTTTTGAAAAAGCACCTGGTTCATCCGAAACCCAAGCTAATTCCAGGGGAACAAAGAAGTGCGAGCAAGCGCGCTCCCTCTCGCCCTCGCTCCCTCTCTCATTTGCCTTGTGTGTTCTTTCACACATCCTTTTGCCTAGGGCCCACAGTAGACTGTGTGGACTCCAAAAGAACTAATTTTTAATATGAAGCAGATACTCTGAACCCTGGCTATTATTTTGGCCTTGCTAAAAATACAGTTGAACTTTTTCCATGGTGGAATGGAGAAAGATGGAAAATTGGAAACCCAGGAGGTAGCTTCTATTTCCACCCAAATAAACCAAAGCACACCACAATCTCCCATGCATGGATCTTTGTAATGCTTTCCTTGTGATCCCAAGGAAGAGCCTCATTTCCACTGACAACAGTCTCAGTACTCATTTAATCTGCAACAGACATGTACCATTCTTCTCCAACTTTATAGATGGGGAAATTGAAGCACAAAAAGGCCAAATTGTCTCTGGGCATCCAGTTCACTGGGACCTCTGCATTTAGCAGAGTTGAAAGTCACTATTAATTAGGGCCTCATTCCAAAATACATCCAAATGCACCATTAAATCTCATACCTCAAAACCTTTCCTCAGGCCTTTGATTCTACTTGGAATGCCCTACCCCACATCCTCCTGATAAACATGTTTTTTAAGACCCACCTAAAACATTTCTTTACATTGTAAAACATTCTTCTTTCCGAGATTAGAAACTGTAAAGATAAAGGGACAAACATCGAAATATATTTTTAAAAAAAGCAAGAGAAGTTTTTCTTACTGTGGCTTGATAATAATCTTCCAGAAAGAATCACTGACAAACAAGGGCAAGAAGGTATCTAGTAAAGTGACTGAAGGAAAAGATAAACAGGTATATCCAGGCTACCTCTAGGTGCACATGACCAAATAACTGATTTGAAAGTCCTTTGTTTCCCCTAAATACTCAGGGGCAATGGTTAGTGACTATGGACAAAACCCCACAGACTACACTCTACCTGCCATACCATTGTATACAAATGACTTTGTACACACCACTGTGTACAAAGCTGTATATAAGCTTTCGTCAGCATTCCATACTGGGAGTTCAGCAGTTTATCTGTTGGGATAAACCCAGTCTTGGCAAAGCCACAGCCTGATACAACCCAAACTAAAGCCATGGAGGCCAGAAAATGAATCATGGAGGTGATATTTTATAACCAGCTGAGAGGGAGGATGTTTAGCAAGGCAAACAAAAAGAACTCATTTCCACAAGCTTCACTTCATTTATATTTAGCTTTGCCATTCTCAGTACTTAAATGTACTATTTACTTTGACCAGCAATTTCTGTGTGTGGCCTTCAGAAGAACAGTAACAGGTTACTAAGGTGTAGATAAAAAAGGGGCCGCACGCTAAACCTGATAAGCTCAGGGGAGACCTGTGTGGTGGACCTAAAGTAATGACATAAGATGGTCTAAAATTAAACTTTCTAGCTAACAGCATGTCATGGCATCTGCAGCTTACACTCCATTTCTAATTTGTAGGTGACACCAAATTCAGGCACTACCACAGGGTCAGCTATTCCTGAACTTTTAAGAGGGAACCAATTTATAAGACTTAAAATTCCTAACATCTGAACTAATTAATTAATCTAATCATTTTGCACATCAGGTTTTTGGTGGCAGCTGTTAATTTTTTCCCTTGTATCATGCTAGGTAGGTACTTTGGTAAGTTCCACATTTACCAACAAATAATGAGGACAGATGCCTGCTGTTGTGGGATTTGAGGCCCCAGTGGGGACAGGGTGTCAAGGCAGTAAGTAAACAAACACATACAATAAGAAAACATCAGGTCATGATAATCATGAGGCCAGCACAGATAATGATTCCCATCTCCTATCTACTCACTAAAAAAAGGCAAGGATCTGGAGGAAGATCCTTCTAGAAAGAGGGAACAGCAAGTGAAAAGCCTCTGAATCACTAGGCTGCTTAGTATGTTCAAAGAACAAAAAATAGCTGGCGTGGCTGAAAGTGGTATGAGATGAGGACAGAAGGCAGGCAGGCACCAGGTCTCGTGAGGACTTACAGGCAAGGTGTTTAGTTTAATTCCAAATGCACATTAGAGTCCCTAGGAGTCAAAACCAAAACCAAGGAGAGTTTGAAATGCTTCTTGGATAGCAATTATGTTGTTTTGTTTTGTTTTTTAATTTATTGATTGACTTTAGAGAGAGGAAGGAAGAGGGAGGTAGGGAAGGAGGAAGGAGTGAGAGAGGGAAGGGTAGAGAGTGAGAGAAATATTGATTTGTTGTTCCACTTATTTATGCATTCATTGGTTGATTCTTGTATTCCTAACAGGGGATCGAACCCACAACCTTGGCACATTGGAAAAATGCTCTAATGAACTGAGCTACCTGGCCAGGGCCAATAATCATGTTTGAAGACTTTGGTGCTCAGAGCTGCCCCAGATGAATCAAGATACAAATGCAAGTACTAGAACTTCCATGCTAAGGGCTAAAGAATGGGGAAGGACCACTCTCCAGCCAACCCAAAGTGTCCATCCAAACTAATGGCAGTAACTAGTGAGTTGCTAATCCTGGCATAAACTGTGACATCAGGTGGGAAATGGTGGGGGTAGACAACCACTGAAAGCATCAGTCCATCTCATACAATGCTAGAGAAATTCCCATAAACTTTGTTTTTTTTTTCCTTTTGAATATTTTCTTATTGTTGTTCAAGTATAGTTGTCTCCATTTCCCAAACAACATTCCCCGCCACACCAGTCATCCCCACTTCCCACCCTTGATCCTAACTCTTTGGTTTTGTACATGTGTCCTTTATACATGTTCCTGAACACCCTCTCCCCTTCCCTCGCCATTATCCCCTCCCACCTCCCCACCGGTTATTATCTGTTTGTTCTTAATTTCAATGTCACTGGTTATATTTTGCTCGCTTATTTGTTTTGTTGATTAGGTTCCACTGATAGGTGAGATCATATGGTATTTGTCTTTCACCACTTGGTTTATTTCACTTAGCATGACGCTCTCCAGATCCATCCATGCTGTTGCAAAGGGCAGGAGCTCCTTCTTTCTTTCTGAAGCCTTCTGATTGTTTGTACTGCACATACTTTCAGAGTGGCAAAAGGACATAGCCTTAGGTCAGGGGCTAAGTGCTGGGTCTTAAGCCATGCCCTCCTTCCTTAGTTTTCATACCTGAGAAATGGGGCACCAACAACAGGACTGGCCCCATATGGCTATCAGGAGGATTAAATATGACAAATGTGCAAAGGGTTAGCCATGTAACAAATGCTCCATAAATGACATCAGGATTTCTTTAAGTCTTTGTGTCTTTCTTTAAGCCTGCTGGATAGGAGCCTGCTGCTGGCCTACACTGTCCCAGGCAACAACAACATCCTGCAGCAAACACTGCTACCCTCTGCCTCAGGGCATTCTCTTTGCTCAAGTGATGAGCAGTCCCAAATGCCAAGAAGCTGATGGCTCAGAGCCAGTCCTTGGTCAATAACAGATGGAGTGGAGAGAGGGTAAATAACCTGTCTTCCCCACTTCTCAGGAAGCCATTAGACACTCCCTCCCAGAGGCCCCCAGTGAAAATGGACCTCAGTTGCTCCCAGCAGTAAGTTGACCACTAGTGTCCCCTTTGCTGGCTTCCTTTCCTTCCCCCTCTAACCTCCCCACCACTCTACTAATACTGGTGGGGATCACCTCCCAAATAAACCACTTACACCTAGCACAGAAATGGGTCTTGAGCAGAACTGTCATCCCTAACAGCAAGCTGTAGACAGTATTCATTCTATACTCACTAGATTTTACTTGTTGTCTTTCTGGGGTTTCAAATATAGAAACATCATCAACAATAAACATGAATTTGCTGTGATAAAGCAGTCCTAACATCTAAAATTCTCTAGGTATGCTTAGCCATGGATGTCTGAGCTGCCTGGGTTGGCCTACATGTGATAGATTTAAGATGGTCCTTCTATGAAAATAGCCACACTTTGTAATCTGACCCTAAATGTGTACATATCCAATATGCTTCCTATTAAAGAAACAGATTTAAAACTCATTATTCATTGATAACTTTTCTCCTCCTACATACATACCCACTTTCTCCCTACATACTCCCCACATACCCCGTGCTAAGTCAGCTTTCCTAAGCAGCCACAGATGCCTGAGAGGAGGGGCTGATGGGCTTACCTTGGGAGAGGCACTGATTGGCCAAGGCCACCTGACCCGAATGCAGGTAGAGATTGAGGCGTGTGAAGATGCCCACCAGGGATGGGATGGTGATGAAGCAATAGGCAACACAGGCCTGGAGAGAGCGGAAAATCACAGGAGGTCACCTGGCAAGGCCATCACTGCAAATTAGGACTCCTGTTTTCACCTAACATCTATTTTCAAGCAAAACCACTGAAAATAATTTCCCCATTCCAAGCCCCATTTTCCCCCTCTTATCTCTGCTGTATCAGTCTCTTCGGGAGGAGAGAGGCAAGAAGAGTAATGGTGTATGAAAAATAAATCCTTAACTATCATTGATGAAAGTAAATAGGTAACACCTAATAATGATTAAGTTAAAAAGCAGCTGTTTAAACCAATTACTTTTAAAAATGGAGGTCATGAGAAGTTCCTACAAAGAGTTTGAGGTAGTTGAGTAGAAAGGATGAGATAAAAAGGTATCTTAAACCCAAGCTGGGATGCTGTTTTATTGTTACCTTTTGCATAGAATTTCATTTTTGAAAATGTGGATTGTGTTGCTTTGATAAAATTTTGAGTGGTACACTCAAGAAGCTTCAATTTTATTTCAAAATTGGGAACTGATCAATAGGGAAAAAAGGTATTAGACCTTCCAGATACAGATACAACTGTAGAGATAATTGAGCTGGCACACAAAACCCAAACCCATCCCTCAACCACCTTACAATAATTTGTATCAAAATTCAGGCTCCTCTGATCATTTCTTTTGGAAGCATTAAGAAAACTGGTCACTCCATAGACATGCAAGGGAAAATTAATCTTAAATTTCAAAGAGCCCACTATAGTTCAAAGTCTGTGAGTCTTATCTCTAGAACATACCCGGACAAAGGCAGCCGTTTTTCTGGAGTGATTCCCCTTCATTACTTTTCTTGTTTCCATTGCTAACCGGTTCACACTCTAGATTTGTTAATAAGTAAAACAGAAAAGGTAATGGTTTATGTATTCCACAGAGATTTGAACATGAACTACATACAATTCAATGAGAACCACCTAAGTGAGATCAAGACTGGTTATCATTGAACCCTGAAATGCCAAAGGGGTCATCAGGGGTGATTCAATCTGGGCTATAGCAAACATCTGCAAGAGCACAGACTGAAAGGCACTTACTGAGTTAGTCATGCCTATGCACTGGCATTATAAAGGACCATTTTCTGGTTTAATGGACAGCTAGGATTCACTTACTCCATTTTTAGAAACTCCATACGGTAAGCTTAAGATCTTAAATTTCTTAACAGAAACCTCCAAATCTGAGAGTAAACCAGCCAAATCAGCTATGAAATACTAACAACAACCATAAGAAAGGCAATAATAATAGCCACATCATCACTGACAGCATACCAGAGGCTGTTCAAAGAACTGGACATTCATTACCTCATTTAGTCCTATGAGGTGAGTACTGTTACCTCTCCTGTCTTAGCTCTTAAGTTTATTAATGCTCCATACCTGATAACCAGCCAACAAATATATAAAAAAAGCTACTCTTCTTGAATTTACATGAGATAATTTAAGAGCCTTTGGGAATCTGTCCACAGATAGGAAAAGTTTAGACCTACGGTTCCCAAATGTATACTGTGAAACCTTAGGGTATTAGGCAATCTCACAGAGGAACCTTTTGTTTTATTTAAATAAAAAAACACAGCTATGTTCAATTCAATTGTTCAGCATGAGGAAAAGCACTGTTGTGGGCGGCTTAGATTCAACACTGGACTACATTACATTCTTTGTAGTGATATTGTATCATCACACAACTGGGTTTTGGAAATTGCTCGATAAAAAGCAAGTGCTGTGCAAAAGTCAATGTGGACCAGAAAATAAGAGTAGAAAAGACAGGTAGTCAACCTGACTCCAAGGTTTGAGAAGTTGTGCAGTGTCCAAACAGGTGCCCAGAAATTATGGTCATTTAAGAATGCAATGTGTGTGTGTGTGTGTGTGTGTGTGTATTTTTTTCCCTGGCTGGTGTATCTCAGTGGGTTGAGTGTGGGCTTGCAAGCCAAAGGGTCGCTGGTTTAGTTCCCAGTTGGGACACATGCCTGGGTTGCAAGCCAAGTCCCACATGAGGGAGTGAGCAAGAGGCAACCACACATTGACGTTTGTCTCCCTCTTTCTCCTTTGCTTCCCTCATGTCTAAAAATAAATAAATAAAATAAATAAAAATTTAAAACATGATTTTTCTTTCAATTTATGTATATGTTTTAAAGGGCTATCAAGTTGTTAGAGCATAAATACTTAAGATGCTTGAGATTAACTTCTTAATAAACAGAGATGTTACTTATTTCTTTTAACATGGGGATACCATAAAAAGTTACTGAAAGGGGCCATGATCCAAGGAAGCTGTAACTCTGATTAGGCAACAAGACACCCGAGGTTAGTATTTCTATAAACTTAGTAATCAGTGCTCCTCACAAATTCTATGCTGTTGGCATGCAGGAGTGAGAATAAACAAATTTCAGAGAAAAAGAGGTCAATAAAAGCCATTCAAAGACTTCAGCAAAGCTGCAGATTTCATTGACCTTTGAGAAAAAAACTTTCATACATCAGGAACAGAACAACATGGGGCTAGAAAAATCCCAGATCAAAACTGGTGCCTGGCATATAAATGCCAAATATTTACTGAAAGAACAAATGAATGAATGAAAAGCCTTACGTGAATCAATTGTACAAGAACAGGTTCCAGATTGCAAAACATCGACCTGGCCTCCACATAAAAACTAAGCTGTTGTTCAAAATCACGACCAAAGGAAACCTAGAATCAAAGAGAGAGATGCCAACAATGTTATTTCTAGACAACTGTGAGCACACAATTGAAAAAGTTTTTCTTGAGCTCTGTGGGGTCAGGAAGGTGCTGTGATGACAAATCACCAAAGATTCCCTAGATATGGATGAGTGGAAAGGGTATGCAAGCACATACACACATACGCTCAATGGAATATACTTTAAGTAGACTTTACAATACTTCATCCAATATAGTGCTAAAATATTACTATCGTTACCTCACTGTTATGACATGGGCACTGCAGTAAAACATGAGAAGGCCAAAGGGTATACAAGGCAGAACCACCCCCCCAAAAAAACCAGAATTTTCTTCTGGAGGGCAGGCCCCTTGTAGTATAGGATTCTTCTGCTAGGTGAGCGTTCTAGGAGCCCATCTATATCAGTGTACCGGCTGGTGTTATTATGAGAGGTTGTGTTTGACATCAGTGAATTTTTTTGAAGACTCCTTCAACATGTTTGTCCATTTCATGATGGGTAATTTACAAATGTGGCTGCTCACACCACACAGAGAGTTCAGCAGTTTTTGACCAGAAATAGCATGACCCCCAGGCCCCATACTCTCTATTCACCCAATCTCACCCTGAACAACTCCTTTTTGTTTTCCTAGATGCAAAAAGTCCTCAAAGGGAAATGTTTTCTACAAGTGGAAAAGGTGAAACAAAAAAACTGCAGAAGCACTAAAAGGCATCAAAATTGACAAGCTCAAAAAATGTTTTGAGCTGTGAAAAAGTCTCAATAAGTGTATTGCATCAAGTGGAGAGTACTTTGAAGTTGACTAAAGTTTAAATATATAAGAATAAATACACAATTTTTTAATAAATAAATTCTGTTTTGGGGGGTCCTCCCTCATAAAACAGAATCTCAAAATATAAATAGGATTTCCCGGCTGGAAAGAGATCACTGGGAAGGAAATGATGGAATTTTGTCAGCTATGGCCTTTTCACAGAACATAAATTTGGATACTGGGAGCCATTTGTCAGAAAGGTTTCTATAATAAAGGTCACACCTTTCTGCTTCTTGATGGGGTTTCCAACCTCAGCAGATCACTGGTGGCTGCCAGAGCCACAAATGGAATTTTCTCCATCATTAAAGATCCGTTCTTCTATTTCTTCAAATTTATGAATAGCTGGTTAGTAGGACAAACTTATTGTTACAGCAATCATTTGTGTCCAGAAGAGATTTAACATTGCTATTTTCACTATAGCCATCAGGTTCTACATCTTATTCCCTCATATTCTTTTCCATTACAATGTAGCAGCTTTCAGACAAAGCTATAAAAAGATAAATACCACACAATCAGTATATCAATCAAGGGCACAGGAGATGCACCTGGTAAGAGCCAAATGCACATTTCCTAATGGAAACTGAATTTTCACTAAAATTGGTATTTTACCCACAGAGTTTGGCGAATGGTTCAACTGGCCCCTGTTATTGAATGAGTCACATTTCCTAGGTTATTTTCGAAGTGATCTAACTATTTTCATTTCAGTCAGCTTTTGTTTTGACATGAATATTAAAACAGAGGATACTGGCAGCAGCAGGTATTTAGCTTTACACACCAAGAATAAAAGTAGAGGCTGTTCTGGCCAGGATGGTAAGGTAGGTTGTTCCCAAAGAAGGATGCATTAATCCCTCCCATTCTGCTGCTCATGTCACAGAGCTTCTTCTTACTGAGACAAACAGATGAGTCGGACAGTAGTTGGCTTTCCTTCTCCTACAAGGGGCTGTTCCTGTGACTCACTATGATTTTTGAACCTAACCTTTAAAAGACCCTGCAGCTTCTATTTTCACCCTCACCACAGAAGGCAAGCTGTGACAACTAAATAATGAGAGAACAGTGAAAAGAAAGAGGTCACAAGGATCAGAAATGAGACACCTGAACCAGCACCAAGGCCCCGGACACAGTCCTAGTCCTGCCACAAGGAGTAGTAGCCTAGATATCCAACCAACTGACAGAATTGTAAGAATTACAAAAACCACAGTTACTTAAAGCCACTAAGATCTGGGGTAAGTTGTTTTGCATTGATGGGTAACTCAGACAAATGGAGAGTGGACACTCAGCACTGTGTACCCAGCCTTGCTTTTACCATTGATAAGCAGCACATCAGGTGTTTCAGGGAGCATACCCTACCAGGTCCCTGTGATTTGGATTGTGCATATGTCTCCCTGACTAGCCAATCAGTGTGTTTGCTCTTCGTCAGAGCAGCAATTTATTTAGGGATAAGGCCAGTGATCCAAATTAATCCAAAGGGAAATAATCCTGGGACTTCTGCTGAAGCCCTTCCTGCTGGGCTACAGAGCTGGAAGAAATAGAAACCCTGAGCTCTCGTGGGGAATGAGCCTGCCTGGAAGGACACCAAGAGAGCAGAAAAATGAGCCAAAGAAACACAGATGGAAGGCCCCAAGGACACTACAGAGACCCTGAGTCCAGCTGCTCCTCTGAAGGGTTCCATTCCTGGACGTTTTGTCACATGAGCCATTAAGTCTCCCTTCCTGCCCCACTTTTGTTTTTCTTCCTTAAGGCAGTTTTTTTTGTTTTTGTTTTTGTTTTTTTTTTTTTGCTCCCTTTGCTACAGAGGAGTGATGGTTAATGTAAGATGTTTTCTAATTCCATCTTATTTCTATACAAATGAAAAGCACCAGGGAACGTAATGCTAATTGCTCCCACCAGAGTGAAAATAAACAATTACATCACATTTCCAATTGCACTAACACTCCTTCCTCAACACTTACCATTTTTATAAATCCATTAATCAAATATGCCAGCATTCTTTTCTCATCCTCAAGAGTGAGTGCACTAAAATCAATAATTGTACATAATTAACAATGGGGTAATAAATGAGTTTCTAAAATATATATATGTATAAACTAAGCAATTTAACAGGCAGGAACATTTTGCTTTTTCTAGATTTAAAAGTGTTTCACATCTCTCTCAAAGATGCTATTCTCAAAATATATTTACTAATAGCAAAAAAGAAGGTAACATGTTCTCCTTTGGAATTTGGGCAGAAAGGTCTCACTTCGAATGTTACAATTCAGAGAACTTTTGTTCAACATGATAAAAAATTGTAAACAGGCAGTAAAGTTGAAAAAATTTTTGTAGTGAGCACCAACCACCAAGATCCTACCAATTATCATTTTATAATATTTACTTTACCACATAACTATCCAATCCCTCTCCATCCAACAACTCATCTTATTTTGGGGATGGGTCTTAAGGTAAATCACCGATCTCAGTTGCCTTTATTTTATAGCAAATTTAATATAAACACTGGGTTGGCCAAAGAGTTTGTTTAGTTTTTTCTGTATGACAGCCCTAGGAGTGCTTAGTTGTCTTTAACTTCATTTGAAACAATTTTATTAGACTGTATTCCGACGGCTGTCACATCAGCATGCACTTAAAAAAAAAACATCGAAATTGGTGAATTTTTGTTCAGCCATTTTAATACAGAAGATGGAAGAAGATACCCAACATTTTTGGCGCGTTATGCTTTATTATTTCAAGGAAGGTAAAAACACAAGTGAAACACAAAAACATATTTGTGCAGTATATGGAGAAGGGGCTGTGACTGACTGAATATATCAAAATGGTTTGCGAAGTGTCTTGATACTACTGATATTGTGGCCAAATAATTCTTTGCTGTGGGGCTGTCTTATGCATTAGACAATGTTTATTTAGCAGCACTCCTGGCCTCTACCCACTGGAAGCCAATAGTTGACATACTCCAAATATCCAAATCAAGAAGGTTATGGTGAAAATGAAAAATGTGTCTTTTATTTTGTGGAAAAAAACTAAACGGACTCTTTGGCCAACTCAATATATATAAGAAAATGTTTAAGAGCCCACAGAAAACAGGAACTAAGTTTTTTGTTTATTGGTTTGTTCTAGGGAAGGTAAGTATGGCAGAGACTGCATAACATCCTCCTATACACTCAGTCTCCTTCATTCTCTGAAATGACATTTCCTAGTCTTCTTTGCATCTAGGTATGGACACATGACAGTTCCAGCCAATGGGATGGGAATGCAAGTGATTTATAAGCCTTCCCAATTTTGTCCCTAAAAGAAAGCTACTGCCCTCCAATGCCTGCAGGCTGTAATATGGACATGGTCAAATTAAGCCAGCTTCTACCATGAAGATAAGCATAACACCCCAGAGGGATGGCGAAGCAACAAGAGACAAAGAACCTGAGTTCCCTGTATGATGTTCTAAAATAGAGCTACCTTACCTCCACCATCTGGTCTCAAAAATCTATCAAGAGAGAAGTAAACCTATTTTATTTAGGCCAAAAACCAATATCCTACTAATACAAGTGCCTTTCTGGGTGTTTTCTGTGCCTTTATCTTTATTTTTGTACAACTAAATCTATTGGTTCCATTTATTATAGAAAGTTTCAATATTTTGATTTGTATAATACCCATGAGGTTGACAGCACGAAGTCTTGAAATTAAAGATTCTAAAATTCAGGGGACAAAAAAGAAATATAATTCATCTTATTGACAGTTAAATGCTAAAACAATTTCTCAAGGTTTATAATATTTTCCAGTGACTCAAGCTGCTTATTTAAAAATTCTTTAGACACTAAAATTTCAGTGACACATAAGCAGGAATTGCCTTAAGTGTAGTCAAATGGAAACCTGTGGTGGGGGGAAAAAGGCTAGAAAGTAAAGGAGTAATAATTTGGTCTTTGATCCAAAGGTAAGGACAGTAGGTGGATCTGAGCCTCAAATATACTAAACAAATAAAGTCATTCATGTAAAGAGTATGAGCAATTGCAGTTTATTTAAATGATTGGTAAATAATGAGAAAAAAATTTAAAGGCTATGTTGTTGAATGTTTGATTTCATTGTTATACTATCTGTTGCTATCAGAACTCTCTTGGAGACAGGGAGTTTAAGTTCACTTGGATGGAACCAGCCTTTTTCTCCCAACTGAAATTCCTTTGTAAAAACATCTGCCATTTCATTTTATCAGGTTACCCTTAGCCCCCCTCTTCTCCTAGACTGGAAAGTCCTCGTAAGCAAGAATCTTAATAGTCCCCATAAAATATTATTATTCGCGGTGGCAGCTTAAAGCAGTAATTCCCTTATGTACTATGTGGTATTAAGACCCAATCCATTTTACATTTCAGCCTTGAGTGTAACTTACTTCACAGAGTCATGCATGGTCTTGCAAACATGCAAAAGGGCATTCAGAATGACGGGATCTTTGGTGGGCTCTTTCTGATGCCTAAGAGACATTTAAAGATAATGGTAAGAGCTATATCTGCTGAGAACAATGAAAGCATGGACTTAGTTCTTATCTACTATACATATTTGAGAAACAAGTGATCCAATCAGTAATGATCACTACTAATGGGCAACTTCCTGGTTTTCTTTTAATTCTGTTTTCAACAAGTTTGCTGTTCTCCACATATTGTAACTTTTCGTAACTGCAAAATCCTGGTAAAACTGCTACATTTCCTAAGCCAGGTAAGAGCAAACCTATTTTGGGTTGTTTTTTAAAAAATTATGTTTCCTGAACTCTCTGAAGGGGTCCACAGCCTATCCACGACTGTGTTAGGTGGCCAAGAACACTTATTAACTGGGTTTTTCCAGTAACATAAAAGGACAAGCTCATCAAATAAACCTTTATGCAAGTAAAGTAAGCATATTTGTTCCAATCATATGGAATTAATCTTTTAGGAAGACAACATAAGGAATGCTTAAGACATACATTCAAGCAACATTTGTCTCAATTTTCCAAACTCTACATACTCAATATTTAAATTGACTTTAACTTAATCTTGTCCTAAAAAATAATATACATCAAATCATTGACGATAGTAGTTATATATTACCTAACATACTTTAAAATAAATATATAAATTTTAAAATAAAAATGAAAATCTCTCCTTAATGGACCACCTACAATTATTTCACATACCACCAGCAATACACAATAATGGGAAACAGATTTAATACCAAGAAAGGAACTAAACTTGAAAATGGATCATAAATTTACACATTGAAGATGTAAACCTTTCTAGCTCTGGTATCTTGATAAGTATGATTTTATTTTTAAATGCGGCTCCTTAACTAGTTTATCAATATATTGCTCCTTCCAAAAACACATAGGAGTAAAATGTAGCTCATGGTCAAGCCCCTGCTAATACTTAGGACTCTGTCTAAGCACTAGTTAAAAACTTTTATCGTGACTGCTCCTTTTATGTGGTTTTCCTCTCAATGTTATTTTAGGCATGAAATACATACACATGACTAAGCCCCAGAGTGCATAAACTGATTTCTTATCAACAGGTTTCACAAAGGCATTAGGAATTGAAGCTTCCGATTGCAATGTGTTACACTTACTTGATAAAAACTTCCATGATGCATTTGCAAACCTCAACCCGCACACTCTCTTTTTGGAACATGTCCAGAAATGGCAGAAATTTTTCCTAAAAATAAAAATACCACTGTACATGCAATTTCTACAAGTTATTGGAAGAAATCCATGAGTCATGTTTTTCTCTAAAGGTGAAAAGAGTTGTTTATATTTTGGGGCAGGTCAAATGAGGACTCAGCTGAAAGCAGGGAGATGACAGTGAGGTTTTACAAACTACTGCTAAGAAAACAACTTTCTCCTGCCCCAGAGATCAGGGCTGGGACCAGTTAACATTTGGCGAACCACCTCAGCAACATTTAGATGACCACAAGCTTTTCTGTGTAACAAAATGAAAACTAGGTGTCAGTCTTTTTACCATGGTATTGACAAGCAAAGAAGGACTGCCCTGGTGTTGGTGCCCTACACCAAAGAAAGGTTGATGTAGCTCAATGGATTGACTGTGGGTCTGAGAATAAAAGGGTTGCCAGTTCAATTCCCAGTCAGGGCACATGCCTGGGTTGCAGACCGGATCCCTAGTGGCGGGTACATCAGAAGCAACCACACATTGATGTTTCTCCCTGTCTTTCGCCTTCCCTTCCCCTTTCTCTAAAAAGCAATACCTAAAATCTTAAAAAAAAAAAAAAAGAAAAGAGAGAAGAGTCAGAGTTGTTCAGATTGTTCACAGAGTAGCCTCTTGCATCTTGGCTCTACATAGTGATTGTGTGATCTTTTAAGCAAGTTATGCCACTTTTTCCCGCATCAGTTTTCTAATCTGTAAACGGGGAATAGTAACTACTACTACTTCCCATTGGTGCTGTGAAAATATGAGGCAATGTACAGAAAGTTCCAGCACAGCTTAGACTGTGGAAAATGTCCAATAAATTACAGATTCTAGTTTTAAATAAACAAAAAACCAAAAACATACAGTCCTGTGAGTGTATATAAGTGGAAACCGGAAGAGGGCAGGGTGCCAGTGAAGAGAGAAGCTAAGGAAACAGAATGTCGCTATATACAGAATGACCTAGATTTGTACTGACCCAGTGCACTGCAGCAAACTTGAAAGGGTGTCTCAGAATTTTTTAACTTTTTGAGGGAAACATAATAAGTCTTAACTGTCAGACATTGAGATGAGTATTTTCTTTAAAAAATTATTTATGTATTTTTAGAGAGAGGGAAAGGGAGAAAGAAAGAGAAAGAGAGAAAGATCAATTGTTTGCTTCTCATAAGCTCCCAACCAGGAACCTGGCCCACAATCCAAGTCTGTTCTCTGACTGGGAATAGAACCAGCAACCTTTCAGTCTACAGAATGACATCCAACTCACTAAGCCACAACGGTTCAGGGCAAAACAACTATTATTTCATATTTTCAACATGAGATTGTGTGATAAAAAAGCAAGTATCATGTGAAAATAAATGAGGAAGAGGATGTCCACTTTGACTCCAAGATTTGAGAAGCTGTGTGGTGCCTAATTGGTGCATCTATACTATTAAATAATTAATGAATTAAAGATAATATTTTTCTTTCAGTCTATGCGCATTATATTTTCAAATGTTGATTATGTTGTGATGACATAAATACTTAAGTTGTTTAGACATAACTACTTTATAAAGGAACCATTAAGTATTTCTTTTGGCCTAGACACCCTGAAAAATTACTGAGACACTAAGACAACTTCTGACTCCGATGTAAGTTTCCAAAGATAATTAGGAAACATTACTTACCACTGTGAAAAGAACTGAGAAATCATGGAAGTGGGTAATCACTTTCTTAATTATTGACCGAAGCTGAAAAACAAAACAAAAAACACATCTTATTTAATAAAGAGTATTTTTTAAAAAACGCAACTCTTTCATAATTTGCAATCACATTACAAGAATGGACAGCTCAAGGGTTGGAGAATTATTAGGTAGGTTGAGCCACATCTCAGTCCAAGTTTGCCCATCTTATTCTGTACCTTGGGGAAACAGTGTCTCAGTCTTGATTCCTTCTTCAGTAAAATGGAAAGCAAAGCAGTATTTTGCTTATTGTGAGGATTAAAAGGGATGGTTCAGATAGAAGTATCTGTCCTTCAAAGCTCTCCATTAAAACCAGCTATGAATACTGAAGTAATGAACAAACATTTTCTATAGGCCATACAGTCAACACAACATGTGAACAAATGGGTGTGGCTGGGTTCCAATAAAACTTTTTATATAAAAATAGCTGGTGGGAGAGTTCCAACCAAGACGGAGGCATAGGAAGAAATGTTTTCCTTCCTTGTACATCCAAAAGAAGGATAACAACTAATTAAAAAAAAAATGAACAACCAGAACTTCTAGGAAGTCAAACTGCATGGAACTGTGACAACCAAGGAGTTAAAGAAACATTCATCCAGACCAGTGTGAGGGGGGTGGGTGGTGGAGATGGGCAGCCAGGCAGACAGAACTCACGGCAAGAGCAGCAGACCACGTGGGTAAGGTGGGTCTGGCTGACCAGGAAATTAAAGATTCAAAACCTCTAACTGTAAAATACTGTGAGGGTTGCAAAGGCAGGAGAAAATCCCAGCATCACAGGAGAGTTCCTTGGAAAGTGGGGCCACAGCAGAGTAAGAGAGCAGCATTGTTCCCTATCTGACCACTCCCCCACAGACAGCACTACAACGAGCAAAGAAGGTTGCCCCACCCTGGCAAATATCTAAGGCTTCACCCCTTACTACATAAAAGGTGCACCTAGAAAACGAAATATGGCCCAAATGAAAGAACAGATCAAAACTCCAAAAATAGAACTAAGTGATGAAGAGAGAGCCAACCTATCAGATGCAGAGTTTAAAACACTGGTAATCAGTATGCTCACAGAATTGATTGAGCTCAGTCACAAAATGAAGGAAGAAATGAAGGCTACACAAAGTGAAATAAAGCAAAATATACAGGGAACCAACACTGAGGAAAGGAAACCAGGACTAAGTCAACGATTTGGTAAAAAAATGAAGAAATAAACACCTTAATCGGAATAGAATGAAGAAACAAGAATTCAAAAAAATGAGAGGCTTAGGAACCTCTGGGACAACTTTAAGCACTCCAACATCTGAATCACAGGGGAGGCAGAAGAAGAAGAGGAAGAGCAAGATATTGAAAACTTATTTGAAAAAATAATAAAGGAAAAATTCCCCAATCTGGTCAAGGAAACAGACTTCTAGGAAGTCCAGGAAGCCCAGAGAATCCCAAAGAAATTGAACCCAAGGAGAAATAAACCAAGACACATCATAATTAAGTTACCCAAGATTAAAGATAAGAAGAGAATCTTAAAAGCAGCAAGAGGAAAGGAGACAATTACCTATAAATGAGTACCCGTAAGACTATCAGCTGATTTCTCAAAAGAAACCTTACAGGCAGGAAGGGGCTGGAATGAGGTGTTTGAAGTCATGAAAAGCAAGGACCTACATCCAAGATTACTCTATCCAGCAAAGCTATCAATTACAGTGAAAGGACAGATAAAATGCTTCCCAGATAAGGTCAAGTTAAAGGAGTTCAGCATTACCAAGCCCTTATTATAGGAAATGTTAAAGGGACTTATCTAAGAAATAGAAGGAGATCAAACTATGAACAGTAAAATGACAACAAACTCAACTATTAACAACTGAACCTAAAAAATAAAAACAAAAACTAGGCAAACAACTAGAAGAGGAACAGAATCACAGAAATAGAGATCACATGGAGGGTTATCAGTGGGGAGGGGGAGGCAGAAAATGGCAAAGGAGATACAGGGAATAAGAGGCATAAATGATAGGTACAAAATAGACAGGGGAAGGTTAAGAATAGCGTAGGAAATGGAGGAGCCAAAGAACTTATATGTACAACTCATGGATATGAACTAAGAGGGCAGATACTAGAGGGTGGAGGGCATAGGGCAGAGGGGGAATAAGGGGGGGAGAAATTGGGACAACTGTAATAGCATAATCAACAAAACATACTTAAAAAAATAACTGGTAGGCTACATAAAGCCAATGGGCTCTAATTTCTAGACCTCTCTTCTAGCCCATCATGACTGTGTTCCTTGATTGCTTCAGGCAAAAGGCCTGGACCATTTGCCAGTTGCGTCAAAGGCCACATTATTACCCAAGAATGGTGGTGCAGTCTGTAAAGTTGGCCCCAGATGCTCAGGTACTGTTGTCCACCACCCCTTGCCCAGAAACACACACGGTCTTGTTGCATTTCAAGGGCCTTGACAGAAGAGAACCAAGGAGCCTATTTTTCTAAATAAAATAGAACCCTGCAACCCTGGTTACTGTTAAGAAGAGAAAGTTTACTGACAAATAGTTTGTTCATACTAAAAATACTGCTGTTTAAATCATTTGCAAGGGAAATCGCTCATGATCTAAAACCAGAATTTTAAGAGGTACCATCCCATTTCATAATTAAGTAGCATTTTAGGTCAGTCAAACAAAAGGTTAAGATAGTACAATATTGTCTGGTGAAAAGTTTCTGAAACCTTATGCATAGAAACTAATCCCTTTAGAAGAGGAATTTTTAAAAAATACTTAAATACAATCACACATATTGTATTGCCTGATTTTAAAAAATAGGTTTTTATCAACATTTTACTATGAAAATGGTGAAATATAAAGAAACTCAAAAGACTATATAACAACACCCATTTATTTACTACTTAGAATCTACAATAACATTTTGCTATATTCACTTTCTCCCCTCACCTATCCATTCAATGCTTGAATTTGTAAACACACAATCCACATATATATTTAATATTATTATTTTAAAATAATTTAAAACTTGCAGAAAAGTTGAAAGAATAGTACACAAGACTTCCATATTGCCTTTACCCAAATTCACCCATTTTTAATATTTTGCCAAATTTGTTTTATGTTCTATGTAAAAAAAAATCTTCTCCTCAACCATTATGAGAGTAGACTGCATGTATTATGTCCCTCACCCCTTAATACTTCATTTGTATTGGGTTGGGCAAAAAGTTCATATGGTTTTTAATGTAAAATAGAAGGCACAATTTTCATTTTCACCAGTAACTTTATTGATTTGGATATTTTGAGTGTGTCAGCTATCTCCTGCATGGCATAATGTTGATTGTTCTCAATTAATGTCTCAATTTGATCACTATCAACTTCAACTGGTCTACCTGGCCAGAGAACAGCATCCAGCCAGAAATCTCCAGCATGAAACTTCGCAAACAACTTCTGACACATTGGATCAATCACAGCACCTTCTCCATATACTGCACTAATCTTTTTTATTTTATTTTTGAGTTTCATTTGTATTTTTATTTTCTTGAAATAATAAAGCATAATATGCTGAAAATGTCACTTATTTTCTTCCATCTTCATTATTAAAATGGCTGCACAAAAATTCACCAGTTTTGCCCTGGCTGGTATAGCTCAGTGGACTGAGCATGGGCTGTGAACCAAAGCATCACAGGTTCGATTCCCAGTCCAGGCACATGCCTGGGTTGCAGGCCATGGCTCCCAGCAACCACACATTGATGTTTCTCTCTCTCTTTCTTTCTCCCTCCCTTCCCTCTCTAAAAATAAATAAAATCTTTAAAAAAAATTCACCAGTTTTGATAAATTCACCAGTTTGATAAATAGATTTTATTTTTAATGCACGCTGATATGACAGCTGTCACAATACAATCTAACAAAATTGTTCTGAATGAAGTTAAAGACAACTAAGCGCTACTAGGGCCATCTTATGAGAAAAAAAAACTTTTTGGCTAACCCAATATTTTTTAATAATTATATTTTCTGACATTTCTAGTTTTCTATTATCAAATTCAGGAAAGTTAACACTGATATAATACTTTAGTCTATCATCCACATCCCTACCTTGTCAACTGCCTAAAGATGTTTTCTGTATCATTATCTTTTCTTTTCTTCAGTACAGGATCATGCACTGCATTTTGTTTTCATGTCTCCAGAGTCTGTGTCAATTTGGAACAGTTCCTTAGCCTTTCTTTGATATTAATGAAAATATTTTTTAGAATACAGTCCAATTACTTCACAAAATACTCCTCAATTTGGGCACAGCTGATGTTGCTGCATGGTGAGATTCAGGTTACATATTCTCTACTACAATGCAACAAGATGATGTTGTGTTCTTCTTAGGGCATCTGCAGGCACACCATATCTGTTTCTCACTGGTAATATGAATTTTCATTAGCAGGTCAATGTCCATCTGATTTCTGAACTTTATAGTCTCTATTTTTTCACCTGTAATTAATACTCTCCTAGGAAAACCCTTTGAGATATGGAAATATCCTGCTCCTCATCAGACTCCTCCTATATTTAGCATCCACTGATGATTCTTGCCTATAGATTGATGATTCTTATCTTTTACTGTGTCGGCTGCAAATGCTGATTTTTTTAACTCTACCATTTCTTCCACATTTCTCAATCGGCACCCCTGTCCACTTTTCCCTTCATCTATTTATTTATCTACTCATCACAGGAACAGTACCCTGGATTCCTATTTCACTGAATGGGTTATAACCCACTATTGTCTTTATTTTTTGATGTTCAGATTGGGAGCCCAAAAGAGCCCCTTCCAAGCTACTCCAGTGCCCTCTTCAACTCCCTTTACCCCTATCAGTTTTTTGAGTACTTCTTTAATTTTTGGCAAAAGAAAATGCTCCAGGCTTACCACAGACCTTCCCTATCATTGACCTGGCGTAAGCTAATTCTCCACAGTGATTTGGCCCCACTTAAGACCAGAGGCTCACAACCTATATGGGTGGATATCCTGAATGCCAGCTGTATCTGTTATAAGTTGCTTTTAGATATGACAGAATCATAAAGAGCATAATTTCCTTCTCTCTTTCAGGAACGGACTGCATTAAAATCATTATGCTACTTCAAGTTTTCAATTAATTGGTTCCTTAGTACTCAAGGTCTTACTGAAATTTTTTCAACAAAAATTCTAATGCACACCACTTTTCTGATGTGCTTGAGACCTTAACAGCCCACAAGGTATGGTCCAGTTTCTCTGCACTACACATTTTACTTACTCAATAATATTTACCAAGAGTCTGCTATGCATGGCCATGTACTTTTTATATCACATCTAGAAAATGCTAGTCAGTGGCTGCTCTATAAAGTGTAACGATGAAGCATTTTAATTAGAGAATGGTGAAAAACTCAAATTAGAAAAATGTGAGAATTCTAAAATTCTTATAAGAATGTGTAACTCATTTTCTTAGCTAGAAATCAATTATTGGAAGTACCAGAACATAATGTTTTTAAATAAAAATAAATAAATTTAATTAGGTCAAAAGTTACTTTACAGTAAGTGATCCTGAGCTGGATTCTGTACTGGATGGGGGAAAAAAAAAATCTACTCTCAAGGACATTACTGAGTCCAGTGACAAAATGGGAACAGGGACTGTGGTGTAGGTAATAGTGATGTATAATGTTAAATTCTCTGTATTTGACAACTAACCTGTAGTTATACAGCTCTGGCTGGTGTAGCTCAGTGGATTAAATGCAAGCTGTGAACCAAAGGGTCACTGGTCTAATACCCAGTCAGGGCACATGCCTGGGTTGCAGGCCAGGTCCCCAGTAGGGGCCGCATGAGAGGCAACCACACACTGATGTTTCTCTCCCTTTCTCCTTCTCCTCTCTCTAAAAACAAATAAATAAAATCTTGAAAAAAACAAACAAACAAATAAACTGTGCTTATATAGATGACTGTCCCTGTTCTTAGGAAATACTCATTCAACCCTTTAAAGGCAAAGTGACATGGTGTGTGTAACTTAACCTCAAATGATTCAGAAAAATTTACATACACACGTATGTACGTGTGTGTACATAAGAACAATGGTAAAGCAAACAAGGAATACGTTCATGACTAGTGAATCTGGGTAAAGAATAATGGGACTTCTCCAAGTTAGTCTTTCAATTTTTGAATACACTTGAATTTATTCCCAAATAAAAGTTTGTCTAGCTAAAAAAAAAAAGGCACTTACTTGAGCCCAGCAACTGTGCCAGGGACTCCCATACCATATTTCATTTAGTTCTCACAACCACTCTGAGTAGGACTATTATTATTCCCATTTTATAGGGAGAAAACTGAGCCAAAACATTAAGTAACTGAGTAAAGAGTACATGGTAAGGATATGACAACTCTAGGATTCAAACCCAGGATTATCTGAATTTATGATCTGCCCCATGCAACATGCCAATTTAATTCAACAGAATAAAATTCCCAACAGTAAGGAAATGGCAAATGCAAATCTGTTACCTGAGGGTAGGAGTCTTCAAATGCACGATCTGGAGTCATATGCTTGATGACATCGGCCAAAACAGTATTCACCTCTCGTTTCTATATGCAGAAAATGAATGCAACCTCGATTAGATACTGAATGGTAGTCATCAACCATTCTTCTGGGGGAAAAGAACTAACACATTCAGAATACAGCACACATTTTCAAGAAAATAGTTTTAAATATTCTATTCTGCTGAAAATATTATAAGGGGAAAAATACCACCCATATTACAGCCCTAAAAGTGGCTATGTCCACACCAAGTCAGGACTGAAACACCATTCTCAAAGATTCTGGAGCATTACAATGTCACTATTTTCCCTAAGCACTGGTAAAATCATCCATGCCACTTTCTGTCCACCTGTCCCCAGATCCATCCCCAGATGTTGCAGAGAGCAGCAACATTGTCATAAAGAGCACAGACTTGCCCCCTGTAAGCCAGGTAACCCAATGCTCACTTTACTTTTGTCATCTGTAACAGGGATCAGCCAACCAGAGCCCAAATCCAGCCCAATGCCTATTTTTATACAGCCTGAGGGCTAGGAGTGGTTTTTACAAAGCAAAAACACAGTATCACTTCATGACATTAAAAATTATAGGAGATTCAGCACTGGCTGGAGTGGCTCGGTGGATTGAGAGGCAGCCTGCAAACCAAAGGGTTGCTGGTTCAATTCCCTGTCAGGGCACATGCCTGGGTTGCAAGCCACGTTCCCCTGTATGGCACACAAGAGGCAACCACACACTGGTGTCACTTTCCCCTTTCTCTCCCTCCCTTCTTCACTGTCTAAAAATAAATAAATAAAATCTTTAAGAAGAATAAAAATTATGGGAGATTCAAATTTCAGTGGGCATAAATAAAGCTTACTGGCACACAACTGTGCTTACTCACATATTGTCCCTGTCTGTTTTCATGCTGCAATGGCAGAGGTGGAGATAATATGGTCTCTAAAACCCTCAAATATTTACTATCTGGCCCTTTAGGGAAAAAGTCTAGATAACAGAAGCATTGATGCCTCTTGGCAAGGTGGCTCCGAGGCTGTGTGGCTTACGGGTAAATTTCCTGGCACATAGCATATGTTATCTAAATAGTTGCCATTATATTTACTCTCTTGTTTAGTGCTCATTAAATTCACCAGCATGAACATCATTATTCCCATTCTACAGCTGAGGAAGCGGCGGCTCAGAGAAGTTAAATGACTTAGCCAGGGTCACATAGCAAAAAAAAAAAGAAAGAAAAGAAAAAAAATCACCTGACAACATACTGAAAGGACCCAGAGTTCCTTGGAGAATGTGCTGATTCTGAATCTTGAATAAGAAATATGCAAAGGAGGTGAAACACCTTAGAAAGCAAGGAAGATATAAAAACAACAGAGCATGTCTGAGGGCTCTGGAACCAACCTGAAAAGGTAACAACTGGACCAAAGTGGGACAACTGATCACCAGTAAAAATAATAAAATTCAAATATGTTTAAATCCATTAGTTGCTAACGACACCAAGAGCAACTACAACTCATGGGTCACCTCTGGAGATTTGGGGAGAGCTGAATTCTTATTCTAAAAACAAGTAAATAGACAAAACTGAGAAGCAATACTACCTTTTCTGTAGAAACTGTATCTCAGGATAATTAAATACCTAGTGAAAGGAGTCTCTCTTTATACAAGTATCCCAGACAACAGATAAATGATAACTCTGAATATCACCATTTTGCAACCTCTGTTAAACTGTGATATGCTTGAGCATCAATGGCTGCTCACTTCATCAAGAGACAAAAGGAAGGCATGAACATCCCAGGAAAAACACCACACCACCCATGGTGCCAAAAAAGACAACTTATATGAACTAACTGCTGATTTATATGCTGAATGCCACCAAGGCATGCAACTAGCCAATCCAGACTGGGAAACTACAGGACAAATGATCCAGTTTCTTTAACAAATATATTACACAGGAAAAAAAAAGGGGGACAGGGGGAGAGAGAAGGAGGAAGAAAAGAAAAAGATGGAGAGAGAACTTATAGATTAAAAGAATCCTAAGAAGTCTACTGAAATGTATGAACCTTATTTCAATCCTAACTGAACAAATAAAGTATAAAAAATGTCTAAGACAACTGGGGAACTCTGAACATTGAACTAATTTTTAGTGACATTAAAGCATTATTAACTTTTTTAGATTAATGTATTGGGATTTTGCTTTAGAAAAAGGAATTTTTATATTTTATAGGTAAGATACGTCCTGAAATACTGACAGATTAAATACAATGTCTGGGATTTACTTCAAAATAATCCAGGAGAAGGAATAAGGACATAAACAAGGCGTCATAAGATGATCATTTCTGGGTGATGAATTTAAAAGAGGTAAGTTTGTAATTTCTATAATACATAAAACAAAAACTAGAAAAAAGGAAAGAAAATCAACAGAACTACATTTATACAATGCTCAAAATGAGGCAAAACCAATTTCTGGAGTTAGAGGCCAGAATGGTGGTTTCCTTTAACTTCCAAAGGCTGGAGGCTATGAGTTCAAGGGGACCACAAAGGACTTTGAGGAGTAGGGAAAAGTTATTTCCTATTACTTAATCTGGACCATGATTACATGGGTGAATTTTGTGAAGATTCACTAGGCAGCAAACTTATGATGTTTCTGCATGCTTGCTACACTTGAATTTTTTAAAATTGTTTGAAACAAATAACTCTGAAAATAGGATTTGAATCCAGATCTACCAGAGATTTTTCTAAAATCTGTTCTTTGACAAGCCCCTTATTTCCCAAACTAGGGTTGTAGTCTGGGCCTTGGGAAAGAAATATCTTTGTGTACTTAGAAATAATTGCATGCAAGTCAAGTATGTTTGGGAAATGCTGCTTACTAGACCCCATGGAAAGTGACAGTACATTTTAGCACATAAACATTTAACATATTTTATAGTAGAAAAAATTTTTACACAATGCAGCATTTACATGGGAACACTTTTGTCATAGCACACACATTAATGCTCTGTCACACTATACAATGAAGGATGAACTTTTTCTGAATTAAGAGTAGTTACTATTGTAAAATGTCTACGTTAGATGTATTCACTATTAAAAACATTAAACAAATGTAATTCTTTCAAAAACAATACCACAGCCACACATACCGTGAAATGCTTGCAGGTATACTCTATCCACACTTCGGCACAATTAATGTAGTCCTACAAAGAACAAATAAAAATGTCTACAATAAGAACACCACAGTTGACCTTATGGCAGAAGCTCATCATGTACAAATCCCTTCAAGGGCTGTGACAATTAAAAGAACTGACAATTGACAGGAATTTCAAGAGTGGTTTATCTGTAGAAAACTCTGGCCCACTGATATACAGAGTCTGGCAGAAGAAAGGCCTGCTTGAGTGTGGTTGGTAGGGTAATAATAAGGGTGTAATAATTTATAGTTTTAATTTAAACATTTCACCTAAAATGTCATATGGTGTGCTTGAGTATGATATTATGTTACAGAATCACATGCTTATGATTTTGTAATAAAGAAGGGGCTTTATTTGTGCCAGACCCTGTATTTTACCATGAGAAGTTAAATAAAAACATAAGTTGCTTGAAACTGAACTGTGAGAAAGAAGATATCTACTAAGCAGGGTTCCTGGTGGCTAACTGAGCTCAAATTTAAAAAACAGAGCCTAGCAGCTATTTCTACACAGGGGCCTCTCACACAAACTGCACTTCAGGAAGAAGCCTGCATTGAACTGCCTGCCTGCACTGTGTTCCTGCCATCTGAGCCAGCCTTTTATAAAAGAGTTCTAGGAATCCTATTTCAACCAATAGGACTGAGGCTTTCCTAACCCACTCAGACCTATGCAGCTCCAGTCAACCAGTGTGGCTCCATTCTAACCAATCAGCATAGAGCTGTTTGGACCAAACAGCAAGAATCTGGAGTCCTCATTCACCTAAGGACAGACCAATCAGGGACCGGCTGGGGACTTCTGTCCATATATTCCAGCTTCCCCTGAGTCTGGGAGTGCACTTTCTCTTTCCACCAAAGACTAAAGATTATATTTCCCAAGTAGATGAAACACTAAAGATGAAACATGGAAGATACTTCACTTGAACAAAGAGAAGGAGACCAGCAGGGAACACAGCAAAATTGTTCAGCCAGAGAGACGCCTGGCCCCAGGGCCATCAAACAGGCAAGGTGCTGTTTCCACAGCTGTGCTGTATCACAATTGAGCTGTTTGCCCTGAAGAGTTTCCTTCTTCACTATACCTACTGGGGATTCCTTTTGGTGTTGAATTGACACCAACAAACTTTGGTTGACAAAACTAATTAGATTTCATTCTAGAATTGCTACCTCAGCCAGGATAAAACAAACAAACAAACAAAAACTGGGAAGCTCAAAAGCATCCGAGTGACAGTGGGAAGGTCCTCACCACACCTCAGTGAAGAAACTGATGGCACATCTGGTTGAAGACTTCAGCTTTGCCTAAAATGTGATTTTTGCATGTTCTAAGAAAATATAGGTTGCCTGCCTTTAAAAAATAAACCATTTGCCCTACAGAGGGGTCACGTGTATATGTTGTATAAAGGTTAGGAAAGCATAGAGGTTTCCGGTAAGAAATTATGTTTTAAATCCAAGTACAAGAGGTACCCATGAAGAAGCAATGAGATGGGTACAGAAATGCCAATGACCAACTTGTTAACACTGCCTGCTCTACTCTGGGACACATTCAAATGGAGAAAAAAAATAGCCAAGATACAATACAGTCTGCAAGTACCTGTTTTCCTCTTTAAGGAAAAGAAAGATGAAATGGAGAATCCAGCTCTTTCTTTTTTTAAATTGTTGTTCAAGCACAGTTGCCTCCATTTTCCCACTACCATTTTCCCCCACCCCACCCATCTCGGTGGATTGAGATTGAGACATTTTTATGTCTCAAAGAATTGAATATTATTTTTTTTAGTATATCTGTACTCAAGAACCATTGTATTCATACATTCAATTACAGCAATCACCATACCACATGGTATATGGCTTTTAGTATTTATTCAGACTAAAACATGAGTTTATAAAGGTAAAAAAAACAGATATTGTTTTTTTTTTTATTTAATTGTTGTTCAAGTACAGATGTCTCCAATTTTACCCCCACCATTCCCCCCAAACACAGACATACACACTCCCCACCCTTAATTCTTCCCCCTTTGGCTCTGTTCATGGGTCCCTTATACATGTTCCTTGATGACCCTTTCCCTTCTTTCCCTTATTATCTCCTCCCCCCTCTCTTCTGGTTACTGTCAGTTTGTTCTTTATTTTAATGTTTCTGGAGAAACCAGTTATCTCTCTCACACAAGAAAGCCAGGAACATTCTAAGGTCTAATTAGAATGCTAAGGTGAATGTGAAGTTAAAGACTGGAGAATACTGCTAATATAGGCTTTTGACGTGAGGATGCTTTGAAACACTGAACTACAGGCACCATAAGTTCAGAGGTTTTTTTATTTAAATATACTTAATAAGCTGTTTTATTTAGTCAATCAGAATTACATTAAATAAAAAATTCCAACAGATGGTGTTTAGTGAGAGTTTTGCTAAACCTAACCTAGATAAACAATTTTGTAATTGTTTCTAATTTTTCTAAATTATACCACTATCCTCAATATACTATTGTAAATATGGTGATTAGCAAGTGGTTTAAATTGAGATCATTTTAATATTTCCTTCTTGATAAATGACTGTATCAAATGCTACATATCTATATTCAGTTATGCGCTATGTTACAGACCAAGTGTTTGTGGCCCCCCCAAAATGTATATGCTGAAATCCTAACCCGCTATGTGATGGTTTTAGGTGGTAGAGCCTTTAGGAGGTGATTAGGCCATTAGGATGGAGTCCTCAAGAATAGAGGTGGTACAATGATGACTCCAGAGAACTCTCTCACTCCCTTTCAGCCATGTAAGGGGAAGAAGCTAGCAGTCTGCAGTCCAGAAGAGGGCCCTCACCAGAATCCAACCAAGCTGGCACCCTGATCTCAGACTTCATCCTCCAGTACTATGAGAAATAAATTTGTTGTTTATAAGGCATCCAGGTATGTCATATTCTGTTATAGCAGTCTGAATAGACTAAGATATGCTATTAGCAGCAGAGTAACAGTGTAGGGTATGGTGAAGTTTTATCCAGCTGGATCTGCAGCCACAAAGACAGCCAATACAATCTTTCCCTACCAAAAACCACATAAATTGCTGGCATGTTGCCTATAAAAACAGTGAGGCACAAAACCAAACCTACAACATGATGGCTGTTACTGCATGCATTATAGCACTGATATCAGTTGGTCTGTCTTCTCAAGACTTCCTGTGCCTAAGTATGGGGAAAAAGAGGTTTCAGCTGTCTTCATTCAAGGGACAAAAATGAGAATTCCCTTTTGCTAATTACTGGCATGACTACTGACCTTAGTTTAACAATATCCTACTAGGCTGGTACATTCAAATCCAAACACTACAGACTGCTGCATTTTAGATGTTGTTTGCAAAGTTACAGGTCTTTAAAAGTTTCAAATATTTATAATTTTGCTCTCTTAGTGCATCTTGGGGCCTTAAGAATAAGAAATAATTGGGATACAAAAATCAGAGAAATACATCTTTAAAGCTATCAGTTCTCCATTATAGGTTAACAAATAATACAACTGAAGAAGTTGATTTCTTAAAAATAAAAAACATAGGTACAATTACCTAGGTAATTTTTTAAAAAGAAAGCATATACTGCATAACTTGGACAAAAAGAAATCAATCTAAGGTCAGAACGGTCACCCACCTGTGGATTCTTCAATTTAGTAATAACTTTCCAAGCTTCATTGAGAATCTGAAGTCGATCACCCTCAGGAGGATCAGCCAAGGCCAAGTTTAACCCCAGTGAGCGAAAGAGAAGATGCTAAGAAAAATACAAAACCATTATGATATTGGAGATCATTTAAAATCAGAACAACTTCGGGCTTAAGGCTGTCACACTGAGCTCATCACAGGGCTAATCTTCCAACAACTTCTTTCTGAAATTCTACCACAAACCTTCACAAGGTAAATAGATAAGGAAAAATAAAGAGCTGGCTCGTTGTATTGGTCTAATCTGTGAGTCATAACATCCTGCTGGATGAAGTTTTTTATAAATAATGAGTGAAGATATATTTTTAGAGATGTAAGACCAAATTCTTTTCTAAATACTTCACAGTGAGCTAACTGTACAGATTTAGGATTCATGCAAGAGACCTGACATTCAGCAATTACGTTTGTCTAACAATCTCAATCTCAGACTCATCTTCCTTCCTGTTCTTGTCTTGTATTCCTGTTGGCCCAAGCTGCTCTAAAACCAGACTCTCTACCTCAGGAGATATCGGGTAAATACTGCCTATTTGTCCTCCTGTTGAGCATTAAGTCAAGAGCCTACCTTAGGGAAGCCAGCCTCATTGCACTCTTTAATCATGCCAATGAAATCTATGGACCTGGTGGCGATGAACTCGGCCCGGAAAGCAGACATCACAGAATTTAACAGCAAGGCACTGAAAGACACACATGCCCACATCAGCAGAGCTCCCTGTTAAGAAAGTCACTTTAGCCCTGGCTGGCGTGGCTCAGTGGATTGAGTGCCAACCTGCAAACCAAAGGGTCGCTGGTTTTATTCCCAGTCAGGGCACATGCCTGGGTTGTAGGCCAGGTCCCCAGTGAGGGGCACATGAGAGGCAACCACGCATTGATGTTTCTTTCTCTCCTTCTCTTTCTCCTACCCTTCCCCTCTCTCTAAAAATAAATAAAAATAAAATCTTTTTTAAAAAGTCACTTTAATTTTAGAACCTATGCTGCTGGAAAGGATGACTGACAGTCCTTTTTTAAAGGTTGGGGAAAAAAAACCAGCAACACTAGAATAAACAGACAACCTCTAGAGCACAGGTGGCAAACACAAGGCCCAGGGGCCGTCTACCTTTTTTTATCTAGCTGGGTACCTGTTTATACCCAGTGGCAGCACCAAGCTCTTGTTTAACTGTTAAGGAGTAGTTACATTTATACAGTCCTAAAATAGCATTCGGCCCTTTGAAGGCAACTGTGAGGCTGATGTGGCCCCTGGTGAAAATGAGTTTGATACCCCTGCTCTAGAGACTAATATAGTGTCTTGTGCATATTGGAAACTTCATAAATGTTAAATTCACTTGATGAAAGGATCAATGGGTAAATTGGTGGATGGTTGGATGGACAGGTAAATAAGAAGGCAATCAAATCCATTTAAACAAAAGTAAACTGAACCTTCAATAGGCTGGTATACGAATAAAACTAAAAATTAAGTAATAATATTGATCCAAGCTGCAAACATATATCCATCCACCTCTCTTATGAAAAGAACTGTCCTGGGACCTAGGGACATAGTAACTTAGAGATATCTACCACCAAAGGGAGAGACAGGAAGATAAGAGTTCATTTTCATCACAGCCCCATGAGGAAAGGACTATTAATTATTAAACCCATTTTACAAATAAGGAGAAATGGGGCACAGAGATGTCAAGTAAGTAATCCAAATTCACAAAGCTAAGAGAGAACAGACTCAGGTATCTGAAGGCAGGCCACTGGATGCCAGCTTTTTGACCTCCATGCTGTCCTGTCCCTTTGTTGGCCCTCTTGCCCACATATGCATGCCCATTTCAAAAAACAGGACCCAACTCCATTTCCAACTCATGACTTATGAATTCTAAAATACTCACTTGTTTCCTAGCTTTCTGCATCGCTCCATCATCTCAGTTAGCAGAGCCTAATAATTTTTAAAAATAATAAAAAATCATCAGGTTGGAGAACCTACAACAAACTTCTCACAAAGAGATTTCCAAGGTAATACTCTAAAATAAATGTAGCCTCATGCCCATTTCCACAATTCTCACTGCCTGGCAGAGATGAGGAGAATGGGAAGGAAAAAGTATATTCTTTCTCGTATTTCATATAGCGAGTAGTTAAGAGCTGGAACCCTGGCAACATGCACACTTAGGTTCAAATACTGTCTTACCAGCTACCAACAGCAAGACCTTGAGTCAGTAATCTGACTTCATTAAGCCTTGGCCTTCCTTAGGCAGATGATATAGGTGGTACCATCCTCCCTGCAGGGCTACTAAAGGATGATGAGAGATGCACTGATGAGAATGGAAATTCCTCCCCATCTCTCCTATGACTGCCCAGTATCCTCCCTATTGGTGCCAGTGGATTCTCAGTAAAACAAACACTGGACCAGTACTTGGTACCCACTTTTCACATGGGGAGCACTTTGCACTGGACTCCTCACCACTCATGGCCACCCATGAGGCAAGCTCTCTATTCTCTCATTTCACAGATGAGAAACCGAAAGAGTAGTGACGTGCTTTGGCCAAGGTGACACAGCTAGCTATGCCAGCTGGATATGACTTTGGCCATCTATCATCAAAGACCATGCTCTTCACTACATTTCCACTCCACGAATTTTGAAGCATTTTTTTGCCCTAAAAGGAAGGTAATGTTTTACTCATTGGAGTACTGTTAATGGCTTTAGACCTATCTTAAGACAATTACATGTTTTAAAGAGCTCCTGTTTTCTTAAAAAAAAAAAATCAATGGAAGAAGTATTCTTTGGGGTAGTAGCTTGGGAAGATTTTGAATGGCACAGTAAAGGTCACCCCTAGAATAGAAGAGCAGTTGATTGACAAGGGCCACTAACCATACCATACAGCAGGTCCTGGGCTAAACACTTCACATACCTTTGTCATTTACTCTTCATAACAGTCCTGGGAGGTCTACGTAAATTATCTCTACCTTTACAGCAGAGGAAGCCAAAGCTCAGATAGGTTAAACCACTTCCTAGTTAAGTAGAAATGAGATCTGTATCTAAGTCTGGTCCCAAAGTCAAAAATTAAAACAAGTCTTTCTTAGTTCAGCATTACCTTTTCCGGGGTCCCTCTATGTTGCCTGAGTAATCAAGGTGATAACTGGCTTTGGAAATAGTGTTAGTACTACCACCCAAAAGCCCTGATTTTATTCATATTTCTGTCCCTGTCCAAAAATAATCTGGTTGGGTCCTATTATGGACCAAATTATGTCCCACTACTTCCATTCATAGTTCAAGTCCTAACCCCAAATGTGGCCATGTTTGGAGACAGGGCTTTTAAAGAGGTAATTAATATTAGAAGGTCATAAGAATGGGGTCCTAATCCAATAGGACCAGTATCCTGATAAGAAAAGGAAAAATGATCAGGAAGTCACATGTACACAGGAAACACCATGTGAGGACACAGTGAGAAAAAGAAGGTCTACAAGCTAAGCAGAAAAGCCTCATCAGAAACCAACTCTGCTGGCACCTTGTTCTTGGAATTTTAGCCTCCATAACTATGAGAAAATAAATTTCTGTTGTTTAAGCCACCCAGTCTGTTATGACAGCCTGCTATGGTCTGAATGGTCACCTAACTACCAAGGTATCAGAAGGTAGAGTCTTTGAGAGGTAATTAGACAATGAGGATGGAGCTCTCATGAAGATAATTGTGCCCTTATAAATGTGACCCAAACAAGTTCCTTTGTCTCTTTTGCCACATAGGGACACAGCAAAAAGATAGTGATCTATGAAGTAGAATGTGGGCCCTTACCAAACACTGACAACATCTTGATCTTCAATTTCTCAACCTCCAGAACTGTGAAAAGTAAATGTGTTGTTTATAAGTCGCCCAGTTTGTGGTATTTTGTTACTGCAGCCCTAGGTGAACTAGGGCAGCCCAAACAGGCTAGGCAAAAAATACAGGTACAAAGCAATCACAGTGGTCTCATTCCCCCACCATTGGTAGATTTAGACATTGACACATAACCCATTTCTAGCTGCTGTGACAGGGGCTTCAAGGAAAGATGTCCTTGTTCTTACACAAAAAACCAAGGAACTAGAGACTCCCATCTTTCTGCCTCTGGGTGCAGCCATGTGAGAAAAAGGAATATGATGCCTGAAATGGCTTCAGTCACTTTGCTGCTACCTGGACAGCAAAACAGACAGATGGACATAACCTGGCTGGCCCAGGGCCTGCACTTCTTATTCAAGAGAACACACTGAATAGTTTTTGTAGGGCCAGTTAGGTGGTTGTTCCTTGCAGGCACAAGCACCTCAGCTAATGATAAAACTACTGATGATAGAATTACTGATGTCACAAATGGCTTCCCTAGCCTACTCATTATTTATATTTGAAAAGTCATACTTAAAGATCATTATCAAGGTGGTTCCTATAAAAGACTGAGAAGAGATACTGTGTATAAGAGATACTGTGAGAAGAGACAATGTGATACTGTGTATCACATTGATACTCCCAACACACACAAATAAAATAATCACTCATGGGAAAATTTTAATGTACCAGCTACTATTATAGGCACTAGGACAGGGCAGTAAGGAAATGAGACAGAAACCCATGCCCTCCTGTGGCTTGTTCTCTCATACCCGTGAGTGCACAAACATGCACACACACACAAAACATTCGTAAATAAACGAGACATCTTCACCACCTCTGAAAAGATGAACTAGGGCAGATGCCAACATATGGACAAAATATTCTGGCCATTAGACAAACAAATGCTTAAAATGTTCTTTTTTTTTTTTTACAAGAAATAAACACATTAAAAACATTGTATATCCAAGAATTTAACTTAAAAACAAAAAAGTTTTGTTGTCATATAGGAATACTTAGAAGAGTCCAGGGAGCCAAATATTATGGATCTCAGGCAGGTCTCTTAGAGATTATTAATTTTTTTCTGAGCAGTAACGGGATTGATTATCTTTGGCAAAAACAAGGTAAATAACAGTTCAAACCAGACTGAGATAGAAACAAGTCTTTTTGGCTGAGAGAATACACTGAAAAATTTGCAACTCAGCATACTGGTTTGCAGATACACAGAAGAACTAGAAGATTCATTAGGCTCCTACATGTCCTTTATTTGTATATTTAATTTTTTAAAAAATATAAAAATAAAAAATGCTTACAGACAAAAGTTCAAATATTTCTGTGCATCAAATACAATGTGAATACCCTCCCTCCCAGCTCCTACTCCCTAGGGGTCGCCAATGTTAACATTGTGGTGTTCATCTTTCTAAACCTGTGTCTGTACCCTGTGAATACATAGCTTTGTTGTAAAAACATGATTTACATTGTTCTTTTACAAAAATGGATAGTGATACATATTGGGCTGCAACTTGCCTTTTTTACTCAAGAATCTAGCACAGGTCTTGCTCCTCCCATGTTAGTACACACAAATCTACCTCATTATATTTAATGACTAAAGAATTCACATCAATAATATAACACAGCTCTTCAAGTTGCTCCTAAAGGATGGATTTTTAAAAGCTTTTTATTTTAAACCATTTACAGACTCATAAGAAATTGCAAAAGTGTCAGAGAGGTCACGGGTACCCATTACCCAGCTTCCCCCAAAGGTTATAGCTTTAATGAATATAGTGCACTATTAAAGCAAGGAAACTGACATTGCTATAATACAATTACCTAGACTATTTCAGCAGGGTTTACACTCACTCATTATAGTGAAAGAAAAGGCTTTGCCTTTCTGACATTTCATTCATATGGATTTGTAGAACCAATCATCATATTTAACTACTGAATTTTATGCCCTGGCTCGTGTGGCTCAGTGGATTGAATGTCGGCAAACCAAAGGGTCACCGGCTCGATCCCAGTCAGGGCAGGCCCAGTCCCTAGTAGGGGGACACAAGAGGCAATCATACACTAATGTTTCTCTCCCTCTCTTTCTCTCTCCCTTTCCTTCTTTATAAAAATAATTAAAATCCTTTTAAAAAAGTTAAAGAAAAAACTCAGAATACTTAAAAAATATTTAACTACTGAATTCTAAAGATTATCTTCGGATGAGAGTTCTATACCCACTTGAAAAGTAAAGGTAAAGAAAAAATAAATTGGAGCAGCATTGCATTTCTATTTTCTAAACCAAGATTAACTCATATGCAGCCCAGACTGCTCACATTTTTATACTTCTGCTTTTATTAAAAAATCTCCCAATTACTATTTATAAATCCTGTCTAATGAAAATGAGTATTAAATAACATGCACAACATCTTTTTATTCTTAATTTTATAAATAAAGCAGAAATGTAAAAGGGGGAGGGGAATCATAAACTAATCTTAGTGTTAATACCCCTTCCCCCAATTCAGAGTTAATATTGCTCAAGTCTCAAAAGAATAAAAATATTTCAATGTGAATAAAAAGAAATTATACACCCCAGGCATTAAAATAAATTTTTAATTTTGTTTCTCTTTCTCTAGGAATTTTTCCTAATTTGAAAAAGCACACTTGTGAGACATCTGGTCAGGATGGCTAAGTAGGAAACTCTGTACTCAGCTCCTCCCATGATCACAGCAAATTACAACTAAATTATACAACAGCCATCAGTGAGAAGCACCCACAGATCAGCTGGACAGAATTCTTATAACTATAAGGATATAAAGAAGAAGTCACATTAAGATTGTTAGGAGGGGCAGAGCCACAGAACAGGCAAGTCCCACACCCACAGTGAGGTAATAAGAGTAGGGAGGGATGTCTGGGCTGCAGACATCCCAGAAGAGCAAGAGGATCCACCCCCACCCCAATGTCCCCAGCCCTGGGGACAAGCATCAGTACTGGGAAGAGGAGTCCCCACATGTGGCTGAGAAAACAAGTTATGTTAATACAAGAAAAACAAAGGGCTGTGGAAGACTAAGATGTGCACTCTTAATGGGCCATCACAAAAACTTACACA